TCTTTCCCACCCACTGTGGCCCCAGGATTGTTTACTGTTTAAACATTTGAAGCTGCATGGGACACATTTTGAAGAATCACTATCTTATGTCTTGAGCTAATACATGTAAAAGACAGAATGTGAAATGAATCACCTAGTATACATAACTACATCGTGTGTGATAGACCATTATCTATCTACCATATAACTATGTTACTATGGTGACGATGTGCTGCCTCAGTTTGTTACTACTTATTCTGAACTTTTTCTTTTATCAAAAAAAAAAAGCCAATTGATCATTTTTTCCACTATCAATGAATATTTTCCTATATATTTCCCATGTAATCAATCTCATTTTTGTGATTTTTCTTTTTTTCAGAGTATCGACACTGGATCTTTTTAAATTTCTTCTTCTTCTTTTTTTGTTTTGTTTTGTAATAGGGAGCATGTGCTTGCCAGATCAAGAATGAGGGAGAAAGTGAGAAATCGCCCCAAGTGGGAAGGCCACACCACAATCCCTTCTCCTCCAGTCTCCTCTCAGAATTTTGGGCATGCATATAATACACATGAACTTGATGTGATTTCAAGCTGCTGGGTCTGGGACTTGAACTGCTCAGCTGGCCATGTTGGGTCAAGTGCCTTGACCTCCATGCCACCTGCTGGCTTCCAACTAACTTTTTTTTTTTTTTAATTTTTTTCCATAAAGTGTGTGTGCTTGTTGGAGAGACACAAAGACACACACAGAGAGAATGTGATAAATCACTCCCCAGGGAGGATTGCTACTCTGCAATCCCTTTTCCATTCTCCTCTAGGGTTCTGGGCATGGATGCACATGTGCCCAGCATGATGTTCATGCCGCCAACTTTGGTTGACCATGTGAGATTCCAGCACCTTAACCACCATACCACCTGTTGGTTCTCCAACCAAATCTTTTAAAACTTTCATTTTATTTATTATTTTAAAAAAATTGCCATAGGGCTTGCATGGGTGCTGGCTGGAAATAGAGTGGAAAAGTGAGAAAGCATCCCATGGGGGATGGCCACACCACAATCCTTTCTCTATTTCTCTCTTGTTTTGGGATTTGGGGCATGCAAGAATACACACTTGGTTTTTTAAGTCACCAGGTCCAGGACTTGAACCATGCAATAGGCCATCTGAGATCCAGCTGCCTTCACCATGCCTCAGGCTGGCTCAGCTATTATTCTTTGACAAAGTTTAATTGATGACCTAACAATGATATATGAGCCTAAGAGCTTTCATTTTATGGTATTATTTATTGATCTGTATATCTATTTATTTTTAAGTTATAAGGCTGTTGTCCTAGCAGCAAATCATTTTGGACGTTTTTTTACTGGTCAGATCACAGCTGCTGGAAAAGTTCCTCCAGCTAAGGTAGGTATAATTTTTAATTTTTTAAAAAAATATTATAAGTTAATTAAAGACAGGAGCATGTATAGTTTTAAAATATAGTTATTTTTAAATTTTTGTCCTGTGTTAATTATAAACTGATGATTTTTGTGGCAAGTACAAATACATGGTGGAACCTCAAAGCGTAATATTTAAGATTGCTTGAAAAAAAAGATTTTTGACCTTTCTGGAAGTTCTAGATTTTTTTTTTTTTTCTGTTTTTGATTTACTAACTTAAATTCTGAAAGGTATTTTGGATAACTTGTTCTGTGTGACCTTTTTATTACCAATTTTAGAAAAGCTTCAAGATTTCATGTAGTAATTATGGGTTGCTCAATTAGTGGAGCATTTTAGTTCATAGGAAAGACTTTTTAAACTTCTTCATTTTTTATCAATTTTTGGGTCAAGAGGATGGGGACTGGGAAGTGGTATAATCAAGCTATTTGGTAGAGGGAAAGGCTGCTGTTTTTTTCTTTTACTTGCCAGAGGGCCATGCACTTGCTAGAGAGGGAGAGAGAGAGATAAAGCACCTCCCCATGGGGCATGGTTATGTTGCAATCCTTCCGCCTCCCTCCCCCTAGGATTCTGGGCCTACTCTTTCACGTGCCTGGCATAGGATACTGTTTCTTTAGTCTAGATTGAGAGCTGAGAGGAACACTTAAGGATAAGGACTGGGCCTAAAGTAAACCGGTTATGTTGTGGCCCTTCAATATTGTATAGACGAAATGGCAATGTACACCCTGACACTAGGTAGAAGAAACAGGACTTCAGTGCTGTCATTTATTTGCCTGTAGGCTAAAGGTTTATCTGGTGCATTCTCTTCTCTTCTTTTTGGTAAAGTTTATTTATATATTTTTTTGTTTCATGAGAGAGAGAAAGACACTTGCATCAGGGTCCTCACAGAGGGGCCCACCATCAGGATCACAGGCATGTACACATGGCAGATAGAGGGAGGTCCCAGGATGTGAACCCAGTATCTTCCCATGTGGGTCTAGTTGCATTATTGCTGCAACAGTGCCTGACCTACTTCCTAGTCTTCAGCACTTCATTGTATAAACCTAGTGTTCTTGTGCAAAATTAACCTCCTGGAACACAAAGCAAAAAAGCTAATACAAACTTTGAGAAATCTATTGGGTCATGGGAAAAGTCATGACATATTTTCTATGTTTTTCTAAACAAAAATGTGTCATGACTTTTCCGACAACCCAATAGTTACATATTACTTTGAAAAACAGGCCAGGTGAAAAAAATGGCAGGTGGTTTAAATGGAGGCTGGAATACCTGATAAGAAAGTATGAGCAAACAACACAGATATATGCAAAATGATTAAATTTTGACTTTTTTCTCGGGATCATAAGAAAGCATCTCACAAAACTGACTGAATGCTTTGATGCTCAAATTTACTAAGTTTTCTTTAGAATCTTTCTAGAAGTTTATAGAAGTTGAGAGGAAGGCTGTGAATATAAAGGATTAAAAAGTAAAATAAAAGACAAGCTTGACGGAAGGATTGTTGAGCCTTTATGAGGTAGAAAAGTGACTATCTTTACTGAGAATTTAAATTGCAGCTTTAGAGACTTTGGTCCAATTTCAGAAATAGTTCTCTGAAACTGAAGAATTACATACTAGCCATGCCCATCAAGGTTGCATAATATTTTATTTGAATTTCCTTTGAACATAGAGGGTTCTTCTTGTTTAGAATGAACTAAAACCAATCATTTGAAGGTTTTTGGTATGCCGAACATTGTTCTGGGAGTATAGAATATGGCATGGATAAGACCAACATGTTTCCTGCTAAACAATACTTTCATTCTAGTAGAGGCCACAGTGAGGGGACGGATGAAAAAAACAAAACAAAACAAATATGTGAGATAATTGTAAACATGAAAGAAATGAATCAGTGATCTGATAGTGAATAATCTCATAGTGACTTACACACTGCTGTGACTGGGGTCTTGGGGTAGGCTCTTCAGGCATTTCAGCTGAGACTTGAATGATGAGAAAGAAGGGATTTAGGATTCCAGGCACAAAGAGCAGGACATATAAAGACCCTGAATGACCCTAGTGTGTTCCAGGGAAATAAGGAAGGCCAGTGGTCTCGGGGTGTGTTGGGCAAGGTGGAGAGTGATTGAGATGACGTTATAAAGGAAGATTGGGAGCTGGATTATGTGGGGCCCCTCTCTTATAGGCCATGACATGTTTATAGAGCTTGGATTCTCTTGCAAGTGAGGGAAATGTAGGATTAAAAAAGTCATGTGACTGTTCTGTGGGGAATCATAGGTAGGAGGAAGACTGAAGGCATGATCTATTAGGAATTGGTAGTACTTGGGCAAGGGGTGACAGATGTGGAGAAGTGGGTGGAGACCTGTGGAGATTAAAACTAGTAGTAGTTGTTGATGAACTAGCAGTGGGAATCTGTGCAAGTGGAGGACTCAAGATGACCTCCTCATTTTGGCTTCAGCTAATTTTGCAGTTAGTGCCCTTTAACTGAGATGGAGAAGCCAAGAGGAGAAACAGGTTCTCTGACCAGAACATGGAGAACATTTCTTTCTTTTTAAAAAATAGTATACAAATTTTTTTCCTCAATATTTTTTATTGAAGTTTTTAATTTTATTTCCTTTTATTTTACATTCATTTACTGTATATCATTACAGCATATAAAATAAATTTTCCCTTCTTTCATTTCTTAAGGGAGTTTCTTCTCTTGCTCCTCCTCCTACCTTATCTTGAACATATGTCTCCAGTGTACCAGTTAGCAGTAAGAGCTTTAGTTAGATCACGTTTAATATAACAACATTCTGGGAAAGCATTTCAGCTGCTCTATTGGAGATAGTAAGTGACATGCTCTAGGTCACCCAGAACTAGTTAGAAGTAGGGTCAGGATTGAATCTCCATTCTCTCTTGGTCCCTGTGTCTTTTTCTTCAACCCATGGTACAGAGAAAGTACATTTCGGTGGTAGCGTTATCTACTTTGCTCTTGTGCTAGTCTGTCTTTTAAATTATGGGTTCTTTCTTATTTTTTGATTCTTGATAACTTGGCCTTGTCCTGAAAAATTTTTTTTCTTATTTTATTTCATTTTCTTTCAGCAGCTGTGGAGCTTCTGTGTGGAACAGGGTTGATGCCTCGGAGCCCAAAGCCCGAGTGCTCCCTTTCGCCCCTCTTTGTCCCTTTTCCTATAGACTTTCCCTTTCCACTAAATAAACCCTCAGCAAGATTGAGTCACATGTCCCAGACACCACCTAGGGGGTCACTGGAGAACAGTTTGACTAGCCTAGTTTTCTGAAAAAGGCAGAAGACAGTGTGGGCATGATGGGTGGGTGGGTATTTATAAACTTCACTGTTTCTGTGGGTGGCATTTTTTTCCTACAGGAACAAGAATTTGTCTTCAGTTGATTGTTTATGAAAAGTATAACAGTTCCTTCTCTGGAAGGCCCATTACAGACTGGACCAGCATTGTTCTTTCTTTGTTTCTGATAATGCTGGGAAACTCTTATTTCTGAGAAATTCTTTGGTTCTCTTGGCTCTGCTCCTTCCGTGGTAGGGAGATTAGTTACATGGTTTTGGATTCAAGATACAGTTCATTCAAAATGGCTTAGAATTATGTGGTTGGTCAGCAGCTGTTCTTGTCTGAAGTGTTTGAGCTCAAAATTGGGGTTGGGGTAGAAGTTTTACCAAAGTTGTACCCATCCTTGAAATATGTTTTGATATTTGATGAGCACAGACAACCTTAGAGTTTGAAAAGGAAGAGGTAGTTAGAATGTCATACCAGGAATTTTGGTAGAAATAGCTTTTATACAATCAGAAAAAAACAGCTAGTCTTTTTTTTTTTTTCTTTTTTTGAGAGGTTTTTGCTATAGGGTGCGTGCGCTGGCCAGCCAGACAGAGAGAGACAGAGAGGGGGGGATGGCCACGCGCAATCCCTTCTCCTCCATTCTCCTCTATAAACAGCTAGTCTTTAGCTTAGGTAATACTGATTGTGTTTATGTAGATTTTACACTGAGGTGCTGATTGTTGGGCTGTTTTTAGTGAAGATTGTCAGCCTTTGCCAGCAGTTGTTCCTTTGATACTTTTTAAAAAACACTGATGGTTCAACTAGAGATTGTCCAAACAATGTGTTTCTGGAGGGGTGATCACCACCACCACCAGCACCACCTTCTGTTGACTGCTGTCTACCAGGCACTGTTAGTTATCAGCTGATATTTTCTATAACTAATTGATGATGAACTTTATTTACAACTCAACTGGTTCTATCTTCTCTCTTAGATTCTGATAGTTGGTGGTGGTGTTGCTGGGCTTGCTTCTGCAGGTGCTGCAAAGTCTATGGGTGCAATTGTTCGCGGCTTTGATACCAGGTGAGTGGTTTACTAGTGATCTGTGTTAAGGTGAGAACATTTTGTTTTAGGGGCTATTATACTTTCCTTAGAATATATACATCAAAGTAACATTAAAACTCTGTCCATTGGGAACCAACAGTTAGCGTAATGGCTATGTCACTGGACTCCCACGTAGTCGACCGTGGTTCGCATCCCAGACCCGGTGGCTTAAAACTCATGCCGGGTGCATGTGCGTGCATGCCCAAGATCCCGCTGAGAAGAGAATGGAGGAGAAGGGATTGCGGCGTGACCATCCCCCCGGGGGGTGATTTCTCACTTTCTGTCTCTATGTCTCTGTCTGTCTGGCGAGCGCACGCACCCTATAGCAAAAACCTCTCCAAAAAAAAAAAAAAAATAAATAAATAAAAGGATTTTGAATGTTTCCAACATGAGTAATGCCAGATGATTGAGGTGATGGGTATACTAATTGCCCTGACTTAGTGATCGCACATTGTGTTCTTGAACTGAAAATGTACCTTTTACCCCCACAAATATGTATAGTTATTATATCTTAATGAAGATTTAGGACCCAGCCTCAGTAGAGCAGAATTAACAATAATAACAATAATAATAATGATGATGAAACCCCTAGACTCATAGTTCTGTTTCTTCGTGTGGCTTGGCAATGGGACCAAAGTTATCTTTATCTTGAGTTTCTAACATGCTGCTTTACTGGGTCTTTTTTTCTGTTCAGAATGTGTTTAGGCCTCAGGTAGGGCAAGACAAAGACATTTGTGAGTGTAAAGAAACAGAGATGTCTTAGAGAATGACTGAATGGGAGTGCATTGACGGGCTGGAAGCAGAGGAGACTGGCACTTTACCTATAAGCAATAATCCATGAATTAATACTACTGCATTACTTATACTAAAGCCTCTTGCTTTCTTTAATTAATTACTAATTTTGCTAGAAGGCACATGCATTTATTGAGAGGAGAGAGAGAGAGAAAGTGAGAAAGCACCCCTCATGGGGAATGGTCACACTGCAATTCCTTCTCCTCCATTTCTTTCTCCTTTTTGGATTTTGGGAAAACATGGACATTCTCTCGCACATTCTTTCAAGCTGCTGAGTCTGGGACTTGACCATGCAATTGGTCTTAACTGCCACTGAAACAACTGGCCCACTGCATGCTTTTAATGTAATGATGGTTTTAAATACTTTTCTCTAATAATTTTACAGTCTCTATAGCAAAGAACTTGATTATGTTTACTGTGCATTTCTTTTCTTTTAAAATTTGTCAGAGGGTGCGTGTAGTCATCAAAGAGAGACAGAGAAAAAGGGAGAGGGAGAAAGCATGTGGTCATACTGCTCTCTCTTCATTTCTCCATCTTGGTGGGATTTTAGGTGTGCGCACACATGTGCCTGGAGTGTTTTTTTCCAAGCCATTGGGACCAGTTTGAACCATGTGGAACCCAACTCCCTTAATCACTAGATGATGGAGCCAGCCCCACTGTCTAGTTCTTAAAAGCAGTCATATAAACATTTTCCTAGATTGCTTTTTTTGTTTTTTTTTTTTGAGAGGTTTTTGCTATAGGGCACATGCGCTCACCAGACAGACAGAAAGCAAGAAATCACCTTCCAGGGGGGATGACCACACTGCAATTCTTTCTCCTCCATTCTCCTCTTGGGATCTTGGGCATGCACGCACATGTGCCCAGCATGAGTTTTAAGCCACTGGGTCTGGGATGTGAACTGCTGTCGACTACATGGGAGTCCAGTGACATAGCCATTACACTAACTGTTGGTCCCCTAGATTGTTTTTAAAGAGAAGTTGGATTAATATTCTTCATTTCAGAAGACACTAGATACTAGATTTTATTAAATGCTTTTTGAGTATGGTTATTATTTATGTGTTTCAGTCACTTTAAGGATCAAAACATGTAGGTATTTATTATCAGCTCAGGGTAGAAGAATAATAAATACTACTGCCTGTTTTCATATAGAGTGATAAAAACAAAGGCAACCATTCAAAGTTGGAGAGAATATGACTTTTCAGAATAAAGAATGTTCCATAGACTATGGCTTACCTGGAGTCTAGAAGAGTTATGTGCTGATTAAAAAGTTGTCCTGCTGAAATGAAAAAATACAGCATTTCCAAAGTAACTAGAACACAGACCAAAGCTAGCCAGGGTTAAGCATACTGCTAGTCCTGTCTTTTTCATTTTGAATGTTAGCTGGTGTTGTAAAAAGCAGGTTGTTAAAGTTTTCACTGCAGTGGACAATAGTAGTAAAGTGGAAATGTATATATTTGATCTAGAGGTGATTTGCAAATTGATGGTAGATGAAGTATTGAGAGTTCAATAGGTTGATCATTGTTTTAGAATGTTTGCCGAGAAGACACCTAGAATGTGGCTACTGCTCAATTTTATTTCTGTTTGCAATTTACTAAGTTTATTGTACAGATAACTCACGTATACAATAAAGAAAGATGTGGCTGAAATGATACAGTGATACAACTCTTCTCTAAGAATAATAGCTCATAAGTTAATTTAGTTACATGTTGAGACTGGGAATTGATATCAGTATTAAATTCAAATATATTAGGAAACACATTTGATTGTAAATTCCTTTTGAAAGAGCAAATGGTATATGTTTTCAGTTTAACATCCTATGGATTTGATAACTCGTTTCCCAATGATATTAAAATATTAATGATATTTTTGAATTCTTTCAAACAATAAGGAGATTCCCCTTTTAATAGTTGGGATTATCTTGCTTCATGTCTGTGTACATCAACATTTAAAAACAAAAACTTTCCTTTTTTCCATCATAAAAAATAATAGTACATGATATTTCCCCATTCAGAAAAAATACTAAAAAGTACAGAAATACAATACTCTAAAGTTCTATTGCCTTGAGATTGCTATTATTTCTCTACACATTAGTTAAAATATAACTTTATTAATAGTTCTATTTTACTTTCTTTCATTTAACAGTAGATCATAAAGACCTTTAATTACCTATACTTTTTTTTTTTTTTTTTAAGTTTTGCCATAGTGTGTGTGTGTGCTTGTCAGAGGAAAGCAAAGAGAGAGAAAGTAAGAAATCATCCCCCAGAGAGGATGGCCATGCTGTAATCCCTTCTCTTCCATTCTCCAGTGCACACCACAATCTTTTTTTCCGTTCTTCTCTCGGGACTTTGGGCACATAAGCACTAAGGCCCAGTGAAGCCACTGGGTGAAAGTCCCTATGGGAGTCCAGCACCTTAACCCCCAAGCTATCTGCTGGCCCCGTTTATAAGTATTTTTAATGATTACATAAGATTCTATTGTATAGAAGCACAATGATTTATTTAAATAGTCCTCTATATGTGGACTTTTTTTTTGGCTATATATAAACTACTGTATGTATATATTTCAAATTTCATATTTTCAAATAATGAGATTATTTTATGGCTAAAGGTATGACAGAAATTCCAGAATAGCACTTATATTTCTAATGACACATATTCATTATTGAAAAACACAGAGAAACAAAAGGAAGAAATGAAAATACCCTTTGTAATTTTTCCAGCCAGATATCCTAATGGCTAATGATATTTTGGTGTAATTTCCTATAAAGTTTTGTATATATACCTTTTGGACAAAATTGGGATCATTTTATATATGTACATGCTTACACACAAATATATAACTTTGAATTCATCTCTTTTTTTTTTTTTAATAATAGTAGATATTTCTTTTTAAAGATCTGTATCCCTATGTCTTCAAGGAATGGAAAATGCCACCTCAAACTGGCCTAAACCATAAGAAAAGGCATTATCTCTGCCTAAATGAAAATCCACAGCAAGGACTGACATTTCATTCTGGAGTCAGCAGCTTATTGATGCTGTCAAGCTCCCGGTTCTTTCTGTCTCTCCTCTCTGCTGTCCTCAACTTTGGCCTCCTGCTAATGCTGATTCCACTTGTGGTTGCAACTTGACCTCCAGGGGCATTCTGGGCCACTAGATCCCTTGCTCAGGTCAGCAGAGAGAGAACCTCTTGCCCAATCGTGGACTGCATGTCCTTCCCTTTATGCACACTCCTGAACATGGTGGTTGCTAGGGGCTTACTGGCTCAGACCATGGTTTCCCAAACTTCCATGATGACAAGAATGACCTTCAGTTCTGGCTAAAAATACAACTTGTGGTCACTCTGCTGGTGAGTATAATTCAGTAGCTCTGAGAAGGGGCCCAGGAATTTGAATTTTTAACAAATACCTTGAGTGATTGTAGTCATTAAGGAGGTTTGGAATTTACTATAGTGGACTGGGTATTGATACAGTACACACACTTTTTGCCACAGTGCTGAGAGCTTTGTTAGCTCTGATTTTCCAACCAGGATACAGTGTTTGAGTAGCATTCATTCATTTTTTTAAAACAATTTATTTTTGTATAACTTAAGTGTTGTGTTAGCTTTTTACATTTTATCATTTACTTCCATATATGGGTTACTTTTACAAAATATAATTTAATGAGGATTGGAGGCAAAAAAGATACTCTGTTAAAATATTTCTAAGTAAGAAAATAATTTCTTTGGGAAAAGTAACCAGAAACAAAAAGTTCAGAACATTTACAAAAGAAGAAACTTAATATGAGTGACTTGAGTGCTATTTTTATTTTTTTAAATTTTATTTTTTCTGCGAGAGAGAGTGAGAGAGACAGATAGACAGATCGACAAAGACAGGCATCCCTGACAAAGACAGTCATCCTCAGACCATGATCCAGCCCCTGTTTTAGCTGGCTGGGATCTCGTGCACGTGTGTGCATGCACAACGTGCTCAGGGAGGTCCTGGGATGCAAACCTAGGACCTTACTTGTGTGAGTCCAGATGCACTACCCCTGTGTCATGACCTGGCCCTGCAGTGGCATCAGATTTTAATGTATCATCGTCAACTTTAAGACCACAAAGAACCCAACCAATTAGTGAAGTTGGCAAAAGTGAAATTTCTTTTGCAACCTGAGAAGTCAGAATTCATTAAAGTGTTACTGCCTTTAGGAAAAAAAAAATGGAAATAATCTAGTCAGAGACATTAAAAGGAACTCTACATTTTTGAATATGTATAGTTTGTGCTTAAAATTATACATGTAAATGATGATCTTGATTCCTGAATTAGGAGCCTAAAATGATCACTGTTTCCCCTTCAATAATTTCCCCAGAGCTGCAGCTTTGGAACAGTTCAAGTCTCTTGGTGCTGAGCCCTTAGAAGTGGACTTGAAGGAGTCTGGTGAGGGACAAGGAGGATATGCGAAAGAGATGTCCAAAGAGTTCATTGAAGCTGAAATGAAACTGTTTGCTCAACAATGCAAGGAGGTAGACATCCTTATCAGCACAGCACTCATTCCAGGTATGCCGTTAAGTAAATGGCTAGCTTTTTTTCCCCCTTTAAATTGCCAGAGGTCACTTGCATTAGCCAGAGAGAGGGAGAGAGAGAAACAGACAGAGAAAGCACCCTCCAATGGGATGTGGTTCTGTTGCAATCTTTTCCTTCATTTCTCCTTCCTGTCAGATTTTGACATGGGTCCGGCTTACCCTTCAAGCCACTGGGGCCTGGATTCAAACTGTAGTTGACCATATGGGATCTGACTCCTTCAACCACTGTGTGTAGGGCCCAGGCTGTCAATGGTTATTTTTAAAGCACTTTTACTAATGATTTTTAAAAACTGAGGAGTAATAATTAACCTTTGAGTGTCTCTGAGTAAAGATCAACTTTTCTATAATGAAAGTGCTAGAAAATGAGAATGCACATGACAATCACTGTAAGCCCTACAGATAACAGTCATTAACAATTTGGTATGTTTTCTTTTGCTCTTTTTTTCTGTGTATTTTTATAACTGTGCTGATAGGTTCTATGAACAGTATTATATTCATAAGCAGTTTTCTCTGTTTAAACTCTTGATAAATAGCTAATTTATATTTTTTTATTCTATTTGTTAAGCTACTATATTCTCATTGTAGGAAATTGAAATGGTACTGGAAAATGTGGAGGAAAAAAAATACAGACTCTGAACTTCTACCAGAGACAACTGTTGTTAATATCGTGATAATTATTTTCCCATACATGAGAAGGAGAGAGAGGGCGGGACTGTGTGTGTTTGTGTATATTCATGAACTTTAAAATGGTTACTTTCTGGGAACCAGCAGTTAGCGTAATGGCTGTGTTGCTGGACTCCCACATAGTTGACCGCAGTTCGCATCCCGGACCCGGTGGCTTAAAACTCACGCCGGGTACGTGTGTGTGCCTGCCCAAGATCCCAACCGGAGAATGGAGGAGAAGGGATTGCGGCATGACCATCCCCCCTGGGGGGTGATTTCTCGCTTTCTGTCTCTATGTCTCTGACTGGCGAGCGCACATGCCCTATAGCAGAAACCTCTTAAAAAATAAAATAAAATAAAATCAGTTCCAAACATTTAGAAAGTAAAACAGCAGCCAGGATGTGCTACGACTTCTCGTGAAAAATGTGAAAATCTGGCAGCCCGTGAAGTTTGCTGCGTGGGCGTCGATGGTTGGAGCTCAGAGAAAGTCCTCCATTCAAAGGTGTTCTTGTTGTCCAGTTTGTCAGAAGTGTCCTAGCATCTGCTGTTTCTGTGGTATTTGCAAGCTCTTGAGATTCTGTCTACTGGGCTGGGATGTGTCTGTTGTTAAATGGAGGACCTTGTATTCATAATCACATTTAATCCACAAGCTCCTCTCAATAAATCCTTTGGCTGTACATTTTTATAAATGAAAAGACTGAGGCTTAAGGAGATCCAGCCAAATTTGCTCAAGTCACCCACAGTGGTCCAGCCAGGATTTGAACTGTGGTTCATTTGACCTCACAGCTGAAACTGTTAACCTCTTTGCTGCACTGTCTCCCCCCGCCCCACAAATGCTCACTGCTCCTGAGTGGGCTAAGCTCCCTTGGTGCCTCTGTACCCCTTACGTGTCAGTCCTCAGAGCTTTATTTCTCTCCAACATGCAACATGCTTAAGGATTCGTGTCCCACCTTATGGCTTGCACGGTTCTGGTGACACAGAAACAGGAATGAACAAGGCAAGCCTTGGCCCTTCTGAGGCTACGTGCAAAATGTGGAGAGATGCAAAGGAAACTAAAATCTTGTCAGACCACGATCATGCGAAAGAAAAAAATAATGAGTCAAAAAAGAAGGGACGGGATTTAAGAGGACGGAGGTAAAGAGACTTCTCTCTTCCTTCTCTTGTTTGTGATGATTCTGAACCAAACTTTCCCCTCTCGTTCCTCCACGAAGACGTCCAGATAGAAGATGTGGTTCTGTCATGGTGCGTTTTTGTTGTTACTGCAGAGGTCATGCAGAAGGTGCATCTGATGGACAGTTTATTTCTCAGGGTGGGGTCTCCCTACCCCTTGTGCTTGCACTCTAAGTATTTATTACGCTATGTGCACGGTACGATGTTTCTGGTTTTGGTTCAGGAGTTTCAGTCAAAGTGTTGGAGTTGTCTTTTCTTTATAAAGGACAGGCTTCTCGCCATGGCTCTAGCAAGGAGCCCAGCGATTCGCACTTGTGAAAGCTTTCGTGTAATAAACGTGCTGGGAACCTCTGTAGCTCCTTCCCAGCGGAGCTTGCTGCAAAACCAAAGTTCATGAAGCCTTCCCCGTTCCCTCCGGGACCCCATAGGAAATGGGAGAGAAACAGGAACACAGGAACTTCAACGAGCCGTGCTCTGTACCACCTCTGATGTCTATGCAGCATTTAGAGAGGCAAATCATTCCATGCCTTGTCCAGAAGGGCAGAGAGACTCATGCTGTGAGCCATTGTGAGGGTCACCTAGTCCCTGCAGTGGAATTGGGGGCTCCATTTTATTTTATTTTATTTTGTCTTCTTTGAGAAGTGGGCCATTAAAACATGTATGAGGATACTTTTGGCATCCTAAACTAGATGTCAATTACTATTTTTTCTTCTGCTTTTTTTTTTTTTTTTTGAGAGAGAGAGACTTTTTTCTATAGAGTGTGTGCACTCACTGGAGAGACAGAAAGTAAGAAATCACCCCGTATGGTGGATGACATGCCACAGTCCCTTCTCCTCCATTCTCCTTTTGGGATTTTGGGCATGCACATACATGTGGCTGGTATGAGTTTCAAGCCACCAGGTCCAGGTCTTGAACTGCAGTTGACTATGTGGGAGTCCAGCCCCTTGACCACTATGCCACCTACTGACCTGGTAGGTGTCAATTCTTGCTACCTGAAGCTCCAAGAAACTTAGTAAAAGGATGAATAGATTTTTTACGAAATAACTTCAAAGTCTCTTTTTATTATTTTGGCTTGTTATCATTGCCAGAGAGCACAGATGCTCGTCAGAGAGAATGGGACAGAGAGGGAGATGGAGAAAGCACCCCCTGATGGGGCATGGCCATGCCACAAGCCCATCTCCTTCATTCTCCCACCCCACGGGGACTTGGGGCATGCAGGCTAACTCACTCAGTGTGGTTTTCACGCCACCAGAGCCAGGATTCGAACCATGGTCGCTATATGGGATCTGGGTCCTTTCAGCACTAGGCTACAGAGCCAGCTGTCACCGCAAGAGTGTAAACACAAAACCACCCCCCAGACAGCACAGAGTGGGAACAACTCCCGAGACTCAGCTGAGGAGCTTACGTGCTTCTTAGAAAACAGCTGTGAGCCTGGGTCCGCTTCCCCGGCCCCGCTGAATGTCAGTGCCATGAGTCACAACCTGAGAGTGGCCCAGGGACCCAGCCTGCCCTAGGTGTGTACCCTTACGTCACCGACTCCACCCAGAGTCACCAGGGCTACTGGGGATGACCTTTCCAGCTATACTTGCCAGAGGAGAAGGGAACAGTGGCGTAAACCCAGAGGCACTATCAAGAGCTGTTTGGGGACCAGCACTTGGCGTAATGCCTATGTCACTGGACTCCCATGTAGCTGACTGTGGTTCGAGTCCCGGACC